TCATCGACTTCAAAAACTGTCTTTTCTTAATACTCCTTTAAACTTATGATAGGCTTTTACTTGACATTTAGTACATCTCACCCTTCCTTTGCCTTGTTCAATAGTGGTGCGAAATCGATATCAGCAAAGTGGTCACCAGCAGACTCGTGGTTGGTGGAAATTGTATATAGAGAAAATGGAATGGCAGTGCATTTTTCTGAGCTCTGAGAAAGTATTTTCTTTTTTTACAAAAAATTGATGGCTTCACTTTGCTTTCGACATTATCTAACTTTGTATTTTGGTACTCCAGTTTTGGTTGCTGCTTTTGACTACCCATCTGTAAAAATGGCGAAGCAAAGATCATAAGCGCGAAAGAATTATCAAAATAAAAGTGGAATTTGAGAAAACAATGTGTGCAGAAAACGAATAATACACTAACATCGCTCTTTACTATACTCGTTTATATCAAATCTTCCCCCCTCCTCGCCCGACCTGGCATATTGTGGAATGCTCTCCCACCCTCTGCTTTTCCATTCACTTACAATCGTTCATTGTTTAAACGTAAAATCCATAAGTTGGATCTTACCTAAATGTTCCTCTACTCTCCCTTTTACAGTATAACTTTTGATCATGCAGAATAAAAATGCATACCGTCTCTAACTATCCATTATTCTGATCTCAAGGTCTTCAACTGTAAAGCTTAATAGACCATACCTAGTTAAATTTTCATACTTTCACTCTAAATTGACTTATGCCTACATGAGAAGAAGTAGACCACGGTTTTGAATCCGTCGCATGCTTGTCGAAACTTTGGACATCCGCTTACTACCGTAGTACATCAGGGTTATGACCTTATTTTATAACGGATCACGTCCCCGTTGCGGGAGACGGCTACCTCAAAATTTATCAAGTAATTTTTCATTGCACTAATCCTTAAATCAGTTCCGTTGCTGAACCACTTTTCTACTTTCGGTTTGATGCAACACCATTCACTTGCACTTCTCTTAATGGCTGGTTCACGTGTATTTGCAAGGTTGTGCGTTCGATCTAACCAGGTGTCGTATGAGGGTTTCTTTGTCTAGCTCAACATGTTTCTGCCTTTTGACTTTCGTTGTTGTTCCGACAATACACACTCTTTTCATAGTCTTATCTTCTGGGTGCAGCTAATTGCAGATCTAGCTTTCGAAACTCGTGCAGCATCCACTTTGTTTTCGAGTCGTGATAGCAATATTTTGATTACCAGCCAGGGGTTTCACTGNCACTGTGTTCAGATTATCTCACTCTACTCGTGTCAGCGTCAAATCATGCTGGATACCTCTTGTGATGTAATCATCAATTAGTCGGATCTGAGACTTATCAGTGTCGTTTTGTATTTCAATCGCCTGCTGTGAAGGTAGCCTCTCGGAGCTGCTTACTTCTCTTGTGTTTACTCCTCATGACGAGACTGCACCTTGACGTGATGTGATGGCCTGTGCACCTCTGTAACCCAACGAGATACACAGAATGACCTTCATAAAGCCGCAGATCTAATCATGCTTGGAAGGTCAATGGGTAGAGGTCAGATGAAGTTTAGTCTCTTGGTTCTCCAGGTTGGGATTTTGACTGGAATTTGCGTTTCATTCGGTAAAAAATGTTGGAGGAGTAATCGATCCAAGTAAATCGGCCTCTACTTCGCTTCAACCAATGCCTTGCAGTCAGGTTCTTGCTAGAACTAAAGGCTTTGGACGAGAACCCTAATCATTCTCCTGCTTAGTGGCTGGACACCCTTGCAGTACCCGTTCATCAAACTCTAATGCATAGACAAACAAAAAATAATTCTATACTGCATCGGTCGTCGTGCAGGATAATCACGACCGCGCTGCCCATTGCATCGAGCGGGGTGGGTAGTGATAAGCAGGCTGCTCAGATATCCCAACCTTTGTTGAACTCTTTGTTTTCCGTACCCAGTCCTCTCCATTTGCTCCTTCTTCCGACTTGTAATAGCCCCTCAAGCAACTTGTATGTCGCTCGACAAAGGTCGTTGTCAAATAGCACTGTAAGTAACGTACAACGAAACGAATTGCAGATTCTAGAGCCCCGTCAATCATGGAATCTGGGTGCCTTCAACGTGAGAACCCTGATGCAAGAGGTCAACAAGCATGTCTGGAGCGTACAATGGAATCATTAGGAATCGATGTCTACTGCGTGTCGGAGACTCGAGTCCAGGATCCTACTACTATAAGCCACTTGAGAGCTCCAGATTTGTCCCCGAGGTATGTTCTTCGCACATCAGGCGACGATGAAACCCTTTCAGCGCGGGAAAAGTATTGTACTGAGTAAAAGGGCTGAGTCCTCTTTTACAGATTGGATCCCCGTCAAAAGTCGTTTATGTGCAATGTGTCTACAAGGTTCAAGCAGCGTCCGGGAAGGATGTAACGCCAAAAGGTGTTTGTTCATCGTATCGGTATATGCACCGATCATTTGCAGTTCTGACACACAAAAGGACACTATCTACGATGAACTCTCATTCGGATGAGTCGAAGGTCCGACATAGTTGTACTTACAGGTGACTTCAACGGGCACGTTGGAAAACAGGGCGAATCAGAAGCTTGCCTGGGCGGTAGTTGTGCTCTGCCCTGCCAACGAAAAGATAACGGCGATCGACTTCTTTAGTTCTGCGCAGATCACCATCTGTCCCTATCCAGTACCAACTTCTGTCATAGCTCTCGACGAACAGCAACGTGGCGCTTCAACTTAACTGGTACGCTAACTCAAATCGACCACATAGCAGTAAGCTACCGTTGGCGTGGTTCAGTACAAAACTGCAGGTCCTATTGGACCACCTGTGTTAAATCTGATCATGCATTAGTGTTGATGCAGTTCACTCCAACTCACTGGTCACAAAAAACCCACCAAACACCTTCCAGAATGAAACTAGAGTTAAAGGACATCTACAATGTCAGCTCACGAAGAGCCTAAAGAAGGATCATGAGAACTGGTGGGCAACAATAGCTAGTGGAATGGAAGTAGGAACTGCATCAGGGAATAGTCAAACTGTTCCGACTGATACGCAGTACGGGAGGTCGGCGAAATCCAGTTAGTGAAACAGTCTGCGATAAGATGGGACAACAGATAACGTGGAGACGAGGCATGGAGAAACGCACAGCGCCATTAGGTAGAGTGGATCTCTCACGCCTTCCAGGTTGAGATCCGAAAGACTCCACAACTGGTTGTTTGGATACATTGAATGATATGGCAGCGAACCGACAGCAGTCGCGTTCTTGTTGTCGTTTCTTATCAGGTCAGAATGTCGGAAACGGTATATATGCGGAGTTTGCTTGCGTACTCACTGTGTTGACCATAGAGGTTCACCTTCTTCCCCCTCCCTAAAAATAGGTCCAATCCCTGTTCACCTTAAATTTTACCACTAACCTTGAGTGCGTTGTGAGTTTGACAGCGATCAGTAAAGTTCGCCTCGCTGTATTTCGCTGTACAATGATGACGATGATTACTCCTTTTCCTACTACTCACCGCCAGTCTCGATGAATGATGTCTACTGCAAAGGTCAAAATGCGCGAAAAAATATCGCGACTATAAGTGCATATTTTATGGACAGGAGCTACACCCTACAAAAACGAAATCCAGAAATACTGCAACATTATGCGTTCAACATTGAATGGACAAACGGATATAATTCACTTCTCACAGATGACTGAAATACGTAAGATCACCGCGACCTCTTTGTGCATGGTGAGTTATCATCCGTTATTCATACACTAAGGGAGATGTGGCCTCATAGTGTGTGAAAGGAAAATAGTCTAAAAAGAAGAATAGAGCTTGGGGAATTGTGGATGAGTAATGGATGTGGACCCGGCGCCCAAATGAACCGTCATAACGGAAGAACCAAAATTGACCGTTGTACGAAATTCAAAGACTTCTGTATTGCTTCATCAAACTTTAAGATATGAAATGAGACTGACCCAAGTATTCAACAAAAATTTCCCCTTTGAGGATGTAAAACGCATCAAAAACCCAGATGGGCTATTATTTAAACTAAAATCAATGTACTCCAGGCTAGAGCGTTCCTAGTTCCCGCACATATCCTGGGGACAACAGCTCTTCTACACCATCAGAACTCTTGGGTGTTAGTTATGCAACATGAAATTCAAATCGTGTTCACTATCCATTTGTGGACAATTCGTGTGGACGCCATGTAAATATAGAAACGGGAACTGAATGTGAACGTGGAGCAGCGTCAAGACCCGTACAGTTGCTGATCCGATGATGGCTCCTGCTCACCTCGGGTTATTTGACGTAGTCTATACAGACAATATGACTGACTGATACGTTTGACCGTGTGTGATAGTTCACGAATGAAGATTACAAGTGACCTAAGACTACGATGTCGTTCGTAGATTAGACAGTTAAATGTCACAGTGAAGTTCACTCTCGTTATGACTGCGTGAGTGTAGGACAATGATTACTCGAAAGTGATAAGGAAGGGACAGAAAGTAGTCATGGCGAATACCTTCATCAATAGTAGAGTAAGGTAAGCGTACTGTGAGCGCAGATTCGATCACAGCTATTCGTGTGAAATGAGCAAAACATGTGGACGAGTTGATCCGATGCTGTTAATTACCAGATAGCACTATAAAACAGTGATCTAAGCTGAACAGAAGCAGTAGAGACAGAAGTAGTTGAGCAATAGATATTTTTCATAGTCTTAGATACCAGGAACAATAAAGACGTGTTTGCTCCAGACCCGGAAAGACCTAAATCCAGTGTGATTCTAAACTAAGCATAGTCCAAATGGTGAAGATGATGAGCAATTAATGATACCCATGATTTATTTTGAGTATGATGTGATTTTTACACGCGACCTGTAGTCTTTAGGGGACATCGGGTTGTTGATCGATCCATCTTGAAAGCAATGCTTCAGTCAGCATTAAACTCGACATTAAAGACTTTTTCCTAAGAATCATCCGAGTTAGACATAATGCCAGTGAGTTTTCACGTAAGAAGAAGGATTACTAATATGCCATCTACGTAGCATTTGAGGCAATGGCTGGTAGATCAGTTACCACAGACACACGACAGATCTCAAAACGGAAAGTTGTGAGTTTCCTGGATGTAATTTGCGGAAATACAACAATATTTATGAAGATGACAAAGTAAGAAGAAACAGTGCAAAACAAGAATAACAAAAGCTGTAACTTACTAGCAAGACACTTGTAGTTCTGGGTCTAGACGATAGTCTTGCGAACGTAGTACCATGGTGTCCCACAAATGTCGTCGACAGAATGGATCGAATGTTGGTGCTGTGCTCGGTTGATTCATTGCATCGGTTAAACATTCGAAAACCTGATGATGTGCAGTGGAAGTGCTTGAGAAATCTGTTTCACCCATTTCATTTAGATGAGCCATGACAGAAGAGCAATGGACACGGATCATCTGACTGCATACCTCCATCAAGGAGTAGTCTGCTCGATTTTCAACCGCGGCCAGTTCATCTCTTTCGAAAAGTTTGGCATGGCATTTGTCGGACAGCTGATTGCGATGATGTTGTAAGCAACGAATAACCTAGAAACACAAGATGAAAAGGAAGTAGTACACATTCACAGTGATAGGGAGCACTAACCTTGCGTGCATGAATAGGGAAAACAAAAGGGAGGGGTTGAGCAAAACCGCAATATGCACGATGATTATATTGAAGCATGTCACAACAAATACGAGCAGACGAATCGGAAAAATGATCCGTCTATTCGGGATGTATAAGACGGTTATAGTACCGTTTTGAAAGGTTTCTAAATTGATCGAATTGAGTAGTTTATCCCGAATGCGGAGGGAAATGCTCGATGGAAAATCACTAAACATATGATTGGGATTTATGTCGCACGTTATCAAAGAGAATTTTAAAAAAATGGTGCGGTAGTTATCTGTGCAACCTGTCGCTGTCGCTTTCAAATTATCCTGAATTGGGTGTTCATTTGATTATCATTGAACAGAATTTTGTCATTGATAAAAAATGAACTGAAATACACTAAAATCTTCCTTCCTGATAGAATATACCACCATTGACTCGAGATCAACCAAAAATATTTTTTCACTACTCCCTAATTTTTTAGCGCTCGCTTCATTGACACCGAATTCATCACAAATAAATAATTTTGTTATCATGTTATCATCATCATCAAGCGAGCTTCACTGATCGCTGATATCATCGGGTGATGATCAAATTTTTAATGTTGAATTGAATCGGATGCGGGTAACTGTCTTTCTAAAGTCTTGACGGCGTGACAAAAATTCGTCGTTATCGTACCCTCATTATCAGGTATCACAGTGCTTGAGCGAAGTAGCGACGACACGTACTTTGGTGCGAGCTAACTTTGGTATAAATAAAACTGTCTTCGGCATTTGACTACTCGTGAGTAGCTCAAGAGGCACGAGCTAATAAAATGGTATTCGTATTCCGTTTGATGACAATCCTTGACCGCTTATTAAAATAAGTGGTCAAGGATTCTGTGCAGGTCCGACAATCTCAAGATCGATCGAACGGACAGTGTGATGCTTGCTCGATTGAGAACCCACATCTTGAACAGAGCCACGAGTCTTAAAAATGCTCGACTGTGCACAACAGGGGTGCCATCATCACATGGCTGGATCATAGGTGACAGCAAGAGCAACACAAACATTACAAGTCGGTGATCAGACAGTCTCCTGTCAGGTTGAGGGATTCTAAGTTGCGTAAGTCGCGGAAAATGATCCAATCAGATCGCAGAGAGGATCAGAGGGAATTTCATTGTGTAATATCACGGGCGAGGGGCAAGACGATGTGAAACGATAGAGCAATTCCACTGTACATAGATTTTGTCACCCTTGATCCATTTCGAAACAATAAAAAACTTGTACTGCGATGCCACAAAGGCAGGTCGCGAGAACCAGCTGGATTTGTAACCTATTCAAACGAACAAGTACCTTGCCAGTTACAAGTCGAGGATTTAAAAAATAAACACATATGTGTAGCTAAGCAAGTCATTTTCTTGTAGAATTTTGGATGTTGTTTTAGCCCAAAAGCAGGTTCAAATACGGGAGGAAGCAGATCGATTCCCCCGTTTTTGTGCTGAGTGCCTTGTGTATGAAGTGAACGAAATCAGCCATGTACATGCAAGAAGGATGAACGGGTCACACCAGATTGGGTTGAACTCTGATTTTGATGCAAATGTAGTTCATTTTAGGGGTTAGTGCAAAAAATCAATACATGCAAGGACTCGAGTCATTATTGACATGCTAACAAAAGGAGATAGAACAGAAAAGACTGACACTAAATATATGATTGTTCTTGTTTGAAACGAGAAACGACACCGCCTTATATGGAAACCACCAGCGTCTTCACAGCGATGGACCCAAATCGACCACCTCGCCATCGGTTACCGCTGAAGGGGATCAATTCGAGATTGCCGGTCTTACTGATCAACACCTGTGGATACAGAGCCAAATTCTCCTTACGCCTGTCAAATAACAGCAAAAAGCCACCGACAGCGGATAACTATGATACAATGTCAGATGTTGTTTCAAATCGGCCTTCGAAGCGGAGCTCTCCGATCGCCTGTCAGTTCAACCACCAGTCGAAGGACTCAATGAATATTGGATGCAAATCAAAGAAACTATGCAAATATCGATAAAAAAACGTCGGACCCTGGCACAGACTCAAAGCAAAAACGATGGATCTCGTCAACCTCGGCTGCCCTGCTGAACGCACGCAGAACCCTCCCTCCCGATGCCACATATGACACAGCGCGCAAATCCCTTAAACGCCAACTCATCAGGAGTCTGAGGAATGACCGCGAGAAGTGGTGGGTAGGAAAGTGTAAAGAGATGGAGAAAGCTATGGCTATTGGTAATAGTCACAACCTTTTCCGTCTAATTAGGAATACGGATCTCAGGAAAACAGGCGTAAGTGAAGTAAGTCACTAAGGAATCCAATGGCACACTGATTAACCATCAGCAACGCCGTCTTGAGCGTTGAGCAGAACATTTCGCGGCTCAGTTCAACTGGCCCCCATCGACATCTGACCCATCACCTCCATCTCGACTGGGCAAATACTCCCAGTTGATGCTAGTCCTTAATTTAAAATGGATGTTTCTCGTGAACTCAGTTATTGTAAAAGATATAAGGCCCCCGGCCCGGACAGGCTGTTCCGATCGGCGTTTAAGGATGGAGGTTCAGCATTAGTTTTGGAGCTGACGAAACTCCTGGTCTATATATGGAAAAGGAAAGAGGTTCCAACCGAATTTTTTCAATACACCTAGGTGTGATGAACAGCAGACGGGGAGGACCCCCTGCTTAGGAGGACCTGCTGTGCAGTGATTGAAATCGGTAACCTTAGCCCCGGGACTTGGAGTGGCGATAGGTTATGTGTATTGAACCGGATGATAACAAAGCTGTCGGGTGGCGGGGTTCGAACGTGGGACCATAGGGTTTAAAACGCGTCTGTGACAGCAACTAAACCACTGCGCCACCACCACCCGTGAGTCGGTGATCATACCCAGTGAAAGGAAAGGCGACAGGTCTTCTTGTGAAAACCAAAGAGGAATACGTTTAGTCAACATCGTCTCGAAACTTCTCACTGGCATCATACTTCGTCGATTGTCTGCCGCACGTGAACGGTGTACGCGTGAGAACCAGGCTAGTTTCAGACCTGTTCGAGGTTATATCGACCACATCTGTACTCTTTGTCGAATTCTAGAACACAGACACTCCTTTCGTAGACCCACCAGTTCTATCTTCCTGGATCTTAAAGCGGCTTTCGATCCAGCCGACCACTCTAAACTCTGGCGCTGCCTCGCTCTAAATGGTGTACTCGAGAGGTTAATTTCAATATTACGATCTCTTCATACTAATAGCCGAAGTCGAGTCGGTGGTTACTTCATTGTTTCACTCGAGTTCACCACGAAAAGTGGTGTTCGTCAGGGTTTCTCTCTTTACCCTTCTCCATCTAACTTTGTTATACATTTCATTAAGGAGATAGCCCTATCCTCCTGCGATGATAGTGGCATCGATTTACTCCTAAATGGCAGACTGTCTGATCTGGAGTATGCCGAGGACATTGTGCCGTAACGTGAATATCCAGGTAAGTTACAAACTTTTCTGGATAGTCTGAGTGTTAGTGTAGACATGTTTGTGATGTGTGATGTACATTCAAAATGTAAAATGTTACTACGAGATTGGGTTAGTCCAGCACCCAACCTCACTCAAATTGGGGAAGTAATAGAGCAAGTGGATAAGTTTTGTTATTTGGACAGCTATATCTCATCCGGTGGACGCGTCAAAAATTAAGTGCCGGCACGTATACATAAGGCTCGGTTGACATTTGCCAACCATTGAGCCATCGCGACATCCCGCTGTCTGTGAAGGGTTGAGTATATACCACGGCAGGTCGGCCAGTTCTGCCATTTCTGCTATACGGTGCAGAAACTTGGTCATTAAGAAAACAGGATAAGGATAAACTATCGGTGTTTGAACACTGCTGTCTACGCAACATTGCACCAATCTGGTGGGGCACCCGGACGCACAATGCTGAGGTTAGGCGTGGAGCTTTAGGTAACCGTGGTCGCTCACTGAAGCAAGTGATTGGCCTCCATAGATTGCATCGGTTGGGGTATGTGTTATGTATGTCACCAAATAGGTTACCACGGCGCGCGATGTTCGCCGAGGCAGGTAATGAGAAGAGTAAAGCCAAGGGTGGTCAAACTATGACCTGGAACGAGGGTATGAAAATCCTTACCAGGAGACTGATTCACACAGATCCCGTTAGGTTCCCTGGCTGGGGACCCCGAGATCATGCTTACCAATGGTTAGAAACACTGAGCGATATGGGTGGCTGTCGCAGTTACGTTCGTGCATCTTCTCAATTTCTTTGCGATGTAAGTCCACTGAAATTCCCCATTTTCTATTCCACTCTACTTTCAACTTTCTTGTCTTTCTCTTAATGATCATCTAAATGAGAAACCAAGTGACAGCAACCAAAACCAATGCACGAACGTGCACGATAGTGGTTGTTCAAACTGCACCGAACTGAACTTTCCGTCCACAAGCAGACTTTGATCTGCCGCAGCGCCCCTCTTCGAAATTCATTGCATCATTGATGTTCATTAAAAGGGAGAAGAAAGATCATCATTCTTTCCATTACGAACACTCGTGATTTAGCAAGCTCCCAAAATTAGTATATTTGTGCGATGCCTGTTTTATTTATTACACACCAGTGTGTGATGAACAGCAAACGGGAAAAGCCCCATAGTCACAAAGACCTGCTGTTCAGTGATGGTAACCGACCACCTGATCCCCGAGACTTGGAGTGGCTAACCACATAAGGCCCCGATAGGTCAGGCGTGGTTTAGAACCGGGCGACAGCAAAGCTGTCTACAACCAAAGTTGGGTGGCGGGGCTCGCACCTCGGACCACAGGGTCCAGAGCATGCCGGTGACAGCGGCTAAACCACTGAACCACCACCACCCGATCGGATTTCAGTAATCTCGATTAAATAATCATGTGGATGATGAAAAGTAAATAGTATCTAATCTCGAAAGTACGAAAAGAACTGTATGAGAAATACGGGTAGTAGTCTTTATTTATGTAAATTTACAAAGTCAGTGCACTTATAACTCTCATGTTACCGTGTTTCTGTTGCTGGTTGACGGGAAGCGGTTGGATAATTT